TTTCCTGAATTTGAATGTTGGCCTGTCTTGCTAGACTGGGGAAGTTCTCCTAGATAATATTTTGAAGTGTTTTCCAACTTGGTTCCATTCTCCCTGTCACTTAAGGTACACCAATCAAACCTAGGTTTGGCCTTTCAACATAGTCCCATATTTCCTGAATGCTTTGTCCATTCCTTTTTGTCTTCTTTTTCTGTAATCTTGTTTTCATGCTTTATTTGATTAAGTTGATCTCTGATATTCTTTCCTCTTCTTTCACTTGATCTATTCTGCTATTGATACTTGTGTGTGGTTCACAAAGTTTTTGTGCTGTGTTTTTCAGCTCCATCAGGTCATTTATGTTCTTTTCTAAACTGTTATTCTAGTTAGCAATTCCTCTAACCATTTTTCAAGGTTCTTAGCTTCCTTGCATTAACTCAGAACATACTCCTTTAGCTCAGAGGAGTTTGTTATTACCCACCTTCTGAAGCCTACTTCTGTCAATTCATCAAACTCATTCTCCCTCCAGTTTTGTTCCCTTGCTGATGAGGAGTGTGATAATTTGGAGGAGAAGAGGCATTCTCGTTTTTGGAATTTTCAGCCTTTTTGTGCTGGTTTTTCCTCATCTTCATGGATTTATCTACCTTTGGTCTTTGATATTGGTGACCTTCAGATAGGGTTTTTGTGTGGATGTCCTTTTTGTTGAAGTTGATGTTATTCCTTTCCGTTTGTTATTTTCCTTTTAATAGTCAGGCCCCTCTGCTGCAGGTCTGCTGGAGTTTTACTGGGAGTCTACTTCAGACTCTGTTTGCCTGGGTATCACCAGCAGAGGCTGCAAAACAGCAAAGATTGTTGCCTGTTCCTTCCTCTGGAAGCTTCATCCCAGAGGGACACCTGCCAGACACCAGTCAGAGCTCTCCTATATGAGGTGTCTGTTAATCTCTGCTGGGAGGTGTCTCCCAGTCAGGAGGCATGGGGATCAGGAATCTACTGGAGGAGGCAGTCTGTCTCTTAGCTGAGCTCGTGTGCTGTGCTGGGAGACCCAAAGCTCTCTTCAGAGCCAGCAGGCAGGAATGTTTAAGTCTGCTAAAGCTGCACCTACAGTTGCCCCTTCCCCCAGCTGCTCTGTCCCAGGGAGATGGGAGTTTTATCTATAAGCCCCTGACTGGAGATACTGCCTTACTTTCAGAGATGTCCTGCCCAGAGAGGAGGAATCTAGAGAGGCAGGCTGGCTACAGCGGCTTTACCAAGTTATGGTGAGCTCTGCCCAGTTCAAACTTCCCAGTGGCTTTGTTTACACTGTGAGGGGAAAACCACCTACTCAAGCCTCAATCATGGCAGATGCCCCACCCCCACCAAGCTTGAGCATCCCCAGTCAACTTCAGACTGCTATGCTAGCAGCAAGAATTTCAAGCCAGTGGATCTTAGATTGCTGGTTCCATGGGGGAGAGTGGGGGGAAATGCTGAGCTAGACCATTTGGCTCCCTAGCTTCAGCCCCCTTTCCAGGGGAGTGAATGGCTCTGTTTCCCTGGTATTCCAGGCACCACTGGGATATTAAAAAACAAAAAAAAACTCCTGCAGCTAGCTTGGTGTCTGCCCAAACGCCTGTCTAGTTTCATGCTTGAAACCCAGGGCCCTGGTGGTGTAGGCACTTGAGGGAATCTCCTGGTCTGTGGGTTGCAAAGACGGTGGGAAAAATGTAGTATCTCAGCCGGAATGCACCATTCCTCATGGCAGTCCCTCATGGCTTCCTGTGGCTAGGGGAGTGAGTTCCCTGACCCCTGGCACTTCCTGAGTGAGGCAACACCCCACCCTGCTTCTGCTCACCCTCCGTGGGCTGCACCCTCTGTCTAACCAGTCTCAATGAGATGAGCCAGGTACTTTAGTTGGAAATACAGAAATCATCCGCCTTCTGCATTGATCTCACTGGGAGCTACAGACTGGAGCTCTTCCTATTCAGCCATCTTGCCCAGGTCCAGTGCTGAAACCTTTAAGCATTTTATTAGTTATTTGAATGTCTTCTTTTATGAATTCGTATTTGATATATTTTTCCATTTTTCTACTAAAGTCTATCTTAATAATGTATGCCTCAGATATTATGACAATGAATCCTCCCTGTGTCTTACATGTTTACAGACATTTCCCCAAATTAAGTGCTTTCATATTTTGTTTGGCATATTTAGATAGATAAGGTTTTAATTATCTTTATTTATATTAGTCCATTTTCCTGCGGATTTTAAAATATTGCTCTAATGCTTGGAAGGTTCTCTTCCATCTTCAGATGATACAAACATTCGATTATTTGGCCTTTTGAAAATATTTAACTCTTTAATCTAGCTACAATTTAATTTGCAAAAATATAGTATAAAGATCTAACATTTTCCCCCAGTAGTTAACCAACTATCCTAGTACTCTTTATTCTTTATGTATTGGAGTATAACTACCTTTATCATATACATGATTTTATTTGTAGGCTCTCTTTACCATTTCACCAATGTATTTGTCTATACCTGAGACAATACTGTTTCATTCTAATTATTGTAACTTTGAAGAACTGTTCAATATCTGGGTATGGCATGTCTCCTTCAATATAATTTTGTCAAAACCTTCTTGACGTTTTAACCTATTATTTTCTCACCTATTTCTTTAAAAATAAATTAACTTTGGTGTGATATGGTTTGGCTGTGTCCCCACCCAAATCTCATCTTGAATTGTAGCTCCGATAATTCCCATGTGTTTTGGGAAGGATCTGTTAGGAAATAATTGAATCATGGGGGCAGTTTCCCCTATACTCTTCTCGTGGTAGTGATTAAGTCTCATGAGATCTGATGGCTTTATAAGAGGTTTTCCCTTTCACTTGGCTCTCATTCCCTCTTGCCTGCCAACATGTAAAATGTGCCTTTCACCTTCTACCACGATTGTGAGGCATTCCCAGCCACGTGGAACTGTGAGTTCATTAAACCTCTTTTCCTTTATAAATTATCCAGTCTCAGATGTCTTTATTATTAGTAGGAGAACGAGCCAACACACAGTGTGATTTAATCAATTATTTGTCCAGAGCATATCACATGTATTCATTTCACATTTGTATTTGTGGTCTCAGCAGAGTTGGTAGTTTTCTTCATGTTGGTCTTTATGTAGCAGTTGTATGTTCCTGTAGGTCAGAGGTTCAGATGGCTTGGATGGTTTTCTGCTCTGGTTTCACAAGGTTGAAATCAAGGTGTCATCAGGGTTGCAGCATTTTCTGTCTCTTAACAACGCTTAATTCTTAGGTCCTGTATAGTTTCATTTGTTCTCCTTGTGGATCTTAATGTTTATTTGGGGGATGTGAGGAGATTTGGAATCAGGCTACTGCTATTGTTCTTTAAGTTAATTTTTCTAACAGCTTTATAAGTTATTATCACTCCTCAGTCCATTAAATAAGAGAAAACTGGGGCCCATAGAAGTTAAATATTACTCAAGAATGAGGTAAGTGGGACACCTGCGATTTGCTGATACACATTTAATAAAATTTCAGGGTTGAAGAAACTGTAACATTTCCATTGCTTAGTGACCACTGAAATTCTTGCTTGAGTATCTCCAGTAATAAGAGACTCATTGCCTCCAAATGAGCCTGCTTCATTTTTGGATTCTCTAAATATGGCTAAAAATTATGTTGTGTTGAATTCTGCTTCTAGGTATCTTCAACTGTGGTCCAAGTTATGCACTTTGGGGTTGGAGCAAACAAAGTTTAAATCTAAGCCTCTATCCTTGCTCTAGTCCATTACTGGAAGACAGCAATGCACCATGGTTTTCAATAATACACTTTTAATTTTTTTTTTTTTTTTAAGAAATAAAGTTTTTACCATGTTGCCCAGCCTGAAATGCAGTGGTCATTCATATGCATGATCATAGCACACTGCAGCCTCAAATCTTTGCCTCAAGTTTCCTAAGTAGCTGCAATTGGCCCAATCACACATTTTTGAGGGCCCTTCATCAAATGGCCACATTGTTTTAGACATGCCCTGCTTTACTTATACCTCTATTGTGTGGTAATGAACATGGTACTTGGAAAATGCCAACATAAAATAAAGTAGGAAATTTGTTGTCCTACTTTGGAAATTATATCCTGTGTATGCATATATTGGGGTGTGTTTATCTATGATTGCATACAGGTTATTAATTTTTTGGAACATCATGTCACTCCGTGGGCCACATAGGTAGTGGTTAGGAAAATTCCTAAGTCTTTTTCCACATGTGATGATTTGCTACAGCTGCTGTGCTGTAGCAAATGTAAAATGTAACAACTGGGTGAAAGGTACATAGGATCTCTCCAAACAATTTTTGCAACTTCTCATAAATCTATAATTATTTCCAAATATTTCCCCATGAAGTCCTTGTGCAATTAGCCATCTGACGCCAAGAGCTGGACTTTCATATTTATATCAATTCAATTTCATCATATCCAACCCTGCCCATTCTTTCAGGCTGCTGAGATTTCACTCGGACCTTGATTCACCTACTGTAACACTGTTTCTTTTAAAAAATAAATCATAACTCCAATAGTGTTTTTAATAAAAATTAAAATGTGATGGACAGGATTGAAAGCAGAGTCCTGTTGCCTGGCACTCAAATCCTCCCCCTAAATTGACGATTCTTAAAGCAATACTTTTAAAGCTATATGACGAGCTATTGGTGGAATATAACCCATTTTCTTTTAGCCGTTTAACATTTATTAATGCACACCTACCTGAAAATGTAGCCAATCATTTGAGGATCTTATAAGACTTAGGATTTTTATTTCAGATAAATGGGTCAAATAATCTTCTCTTTCAATACACTGTCTTCATTCTTTCCCTGCCTTTCCACCCCCTACCCTAGTCCATTTCTCAAAGAATAAAATCCACATAGGTACCTTTTAATAGATTCCATTGTTTCATCCGAGTATCATCAGTGTACATAATGTCACATGCTTTCTATTAGCTCTTTCTCAGCATGCATTGGCATTTTAATTTTACCTTAGTGTTTTTTCTCTTCTCCTCAGACAGGAAAACAATCCATTTGCCGGTTGGCTGCCTGTATGTTCCTAATAATAGACTGACCTAATCACAAGTATATTCACTGAACATGGGGAACTTATCACCTACAGTGGGGCATAAAAAGATTACTTCTAATTAAGATAGCAATGAGAATATTTCATAGGAATTTATCTCCCGTAAAATTCTTATATAGTAATATACATCCACATAAGCTCAATATAGTGAAAGACCACACTATTCTAAATGGAAAATCAAGATTTTTTTTTAAATGAAAGCCTGTCATATTTAGACATATATCAAATCCCTGCTCCCAAAACAAATAGAAGAACAAAAAACCTGAAGGCTTACTGTAATTAAGTAGACATTAGACCAAACACAGGACCTACTGGAAGAGCTACACTTTACAAAGGAGTGTAAGTTTCACCTGAGCTTTATTTGATAGTTGTTATTACAACAGAAAATGTTGATGCTCTTGAAGTCACCAAGAAAAGCTTCATCCTCTAAGATACAAAAAAGTTTAATATGTCTTCAGATTATAGAAAAAATGATATAGCAAAACTAATCTCTATGCTCATTTGTATATTAATTGCTGTGGTGCTTATAAGAATCTGTGCATGTAATAATATGGTGTAGAACTACACACACACACACACACACACACACACACACATACACACACACACACACACACATACACACACACACGGTACCAATGTCAGTTTCTTGGTCTTGTTACTGTGCTATAACTGGGGGAAACTGGATGAAAGGTACACAGAATCTCTCCAAACAATTTTTGCAACTTCTTATAAATCTATGATTATTTCCAAATTAACATAAAACATCCCAAACCTACATAATTTATTCACTGTATAGTTCATCCCACAAAAGTTAGCTCAGTTATTTAACCAATATTTGCCAATATTAAACATAACTTTATTGCCTTTAGTCATTTCTAGAATGAGGCAGAAATATAAATAAATAAACAAGCTAGTTTAGAAGAATTACTGAATGTTAGGAATTTTGTGATTAAATGAATAAAGTAACCTTACAAAGTTAAAGTAACCAATTTTCAGCAAGTAAAAGAAAAAAAAACCCCAACTCTAAAAAATTAGGTCTGCTAATTAAGGGGTTAAAGCCTTCTTTTTGTTTTTTTCCATATTACATGAACATGTACTGCATCACAGGTCATTCCATACTCAAATAATGCAAAAGGCAAGGTTCTCAGAGTCTTCTATTCATTTATTTTCAGGAAGATACTCCTCAGGAAAGAATTAGAGTTGCATGTGGTTCTCTGTTGTTCACTGTGATCATAGTCAATGCTACACAGCTAAACTGTTGAGCATACTCAGCTGGCAGATTGGGAAATCCTCACAATTTTAAATTTAAACATATGAACCTGGATAATTTGGTGTTGTGTACATAAAGGGATTTTATATATATATATACATATATATATATATATAAAACTGACCCAAAGTCTCATCTTTTTTTTTTTTTAATAAACATAGAAATTGACCCATCTGGTTTTAAAACTTGAAATCTACATTTGGTTTAATAGAGTTCCTTCCTCAGGAAACCACCTTCAGACATCTCAAAAGAAAAAAAAAGGTATTAAAAGAACCGAAACTCACCAGATCACCACATCCAGACAATGAGATGCCAGACCCTTCATTCATCATGACTGCTTCCTTACCCCTCCTGTCTAGTTTCTGTTTTCTTACACATTGTTAAATTTCTTCCCTGCTGTGTAAACCTCTAGTTGGTCAGGGAGATGGATTTGGGACTGAGCTCCCATCTCTTTGGCAGCACCAGATTAAAGCCTTCTTCCTTGGCAGTACTCATCATCTCAGTCACTGGCTTTCTGTGCAGCAAGGAGCAGCAGGACCTAGACTGAACCCCTGGTGTTTCGGTAGCATACACATATGTACATACTTACATACACACACACATACATGCAGATGGTGGAATTACTTTACAGAGCCAGAGTGTCTGAGTGACAACCTATAAACAGGTGAAGTCTTGTAGCAGCTCACACTGTGAATAAGCACAGTGAGGAATATTAGTAACACTTAGGACATATTAGCATTCTTTAGCTAACATTATTGACAGTCTATTGCTAGAACTTGAGCCTTGTAATTAAGCAAGCCATGAAAATTTCTCATGATCCTGCAGATCATCATATTAGGCTCCGGACCAAACATGTAGGCCACAGAATGACAAAGATTTTTCTTCTACATTTTCTTAATCTGAATCTTACACTAACCATAGACATCCAATTGAATTTTTAAGCACTTTCATTACTATCATAAAATTAAAAGGCAAGCAAAAGAACGAAATTTGGGTTCCTACAAGTCATGGGATACCAAAAGAGTGGAAATAAATGAAAAAACCATGGATTGTTGCGTCAGAGAGCCCTGGATTCCAGATAAATACCTGGCTCCAATAAGCTTAAGAGTGTGTGAGAGTTATTTAGGCAAATTCAGTTAGAGATTATGTCATGGTTACAAACACTCTCCTTCCTCCAACCCTGCCTTGAATCTCAGGAGTTTATCAATTAACCTGTGTGTCCAACACCAGTAAGCACAGTCATGCTATCCAATCTAGCCATTCAAAGATCAAGGTGACAAAGACTCTGTCTTGAAAAACCTTTCAACAACGCAGGAGGAAAGGTACACAAACTCTTAATATTTCCCTGGCTCTTCTGTTCACATTTCATTGATGAAAACAAGTCTCATAGCCACATCTAACCTCAGAAGATGTAGAGAAGTATAACTGATAAAGGCAGGAGAGAGCCAAATGCCTAGGCAAATAGGGAAAGGTCTCCAGAGAGTCTCTGACCCATCCCACAAGTCTTTAGAGTAGATGCTTTGTGTAGATAGGGGAACCAGCACAGGGGGCTCGTCTGGGCGTACCCCACAACCACTGGGGGGAATGGGGTGGAGCCACCAGGAATTCATGCCTCATGAGGGGAAGGAGCTGTGCCTCTTCATCTTGTATGTGGTGGCCTGGTATTCAATTTTTGTGAGGTGGGAACCTACATACAGGACCCCTCTCTTTGTTGACAGCTTTCTTTTCACTTAATAAATTCCATCCTTTGCTATTTCTTTTCTAAACTATCAAAAACTGTAGCAGTTTGAAAAGCCTTAATATTTATTTGTATGTCAATATTTTTCATTTGATTCCCTATTAGAATTAATTATAAAACTTGAAGACTTCCAGATTATCCAACTTATAAATAACATATTTCTTCATACTAGCTTCTTAAAACACTGACCTCTGTGAGGTATTTACTGTGCAATAACTGATTCATTTTTTGAGAGCTTGAAACAACCAATTTTTCCCTCCAATGCTGTTACTTAATGTCACTACCAAGAAGAAAAACTGTTCTGTTGTTAAAAAAAAATTGCTCTTAATTCTTGAAGAGGTTACTAATAGCAGTAGGATAGAATTATATGAGGTTACCTACAACTCCGTAAAGTTCTTGCACTGTAAGCCTTGTTGCTTTACTCAAGACAAATGTAATTTTATCATTTCTTATGTAGTATTTTTCTTTTCGAAACGTGCCTTATGTTAAGCACTACGTACTTTCAGTTTTTGCATTGTCCAGACTTCTTTATTAGATGGAGATGTTTCTTCTTCTGTCTTCTAGACTAAATAGTAGAGTATCATCCAAATAATGGAGGCCATGACTTGAATGAATAGAAATGAATAAGCTGGTGTTTGTTTTTACAAAATGGAAGTAATTTAGATTTGTTCTCTTCCATACATAAAATGATTTTAGTTCAGTTTTAATGAGTGAAAGCTATTTGGTTTTTATGAAAAAAGGAAAATGTTTTCCTATTCGGTTTTATATGTGTTAAATAAATGTGTAAAGTAAAAAAAAAAATAAAAAATAAATTCCATCCTCGGCTGGACGAGGTGGCTCACACCTGTAATCTCAGCACTCTGGAGGCCAAGGCGGGTAGATCACGAGGTCAGGCATTTGAGACCAGCCTGGCCAACATAATGAAACCTCATCTCTACTAAAAGTATAAAAAATTAGCTGGGTGTGGTGGCAGGTACCTGTAGTCCCAATTACTTGGGAGGCTGAGGCAGGAGAATCGCTTGAACCTGGGAGGTGAAGGTTGCAGTGAGCCAAGATCACACACTGCACTCCAGCCTGGGCAACAGTGTGGGACTTCATCGCAATAAAAAAAAAAAAAAATTCCATCCTCCTCAGTCTTGCATTTGTCCGTTTGCCTAATTTTTCCTGGTTGTGAGACAAAAACTGGATTTAGCTAAACTAAGGAGCAAAAAATCCTGCATTACAGTCTTCTCATGTGCCAGAGGAGAACAGGAAGATTCATAACTCCAGTTACTGCCACATTTTCTTAAATCTTTCAACTTTAGCTTCCTTCCCTGGAAAATTAGGAAGATGATACATAAATTAAAGGATGCTTGTACTTATCACTTCACAGTCACGATCAGACCCCTGGTGCCACACTGCCTAGGTTGAAATCCCAGTTTTAAAGCTTGTTAGCATAACCTTGAGCAGTTTTCTTAATCTCTCTCATCTCAGATTTCTCTCATCTGAAAAATAATGTCCATGCTTATTACTGAACTGTGAGGATAAAATCAGTTAATATAAGCAAAATGTTTAGAATAGTGTCAAGTGCATAATAAGGACACTTAAGTATTTGCTCTTGGCCCCTGGCATGGCTTTGGAATGTACAGTATTCTCTGTGATTATTGGTTATCACGATTATTATTACTATAATAGAAGCCTGGGGTGCTGCTGCTCAGCATTGACTTACTGAATACCTGTGAAAAGAAAGTCAGTAAAAAAGTCAGATTCCATCAAATGAGTTGGAGTAGATTATGTAGAATTTTCAAAGGTTCACTGAAGTATAAGTTTAGCAATTAGCTGTACAACAGGGGTAGTCCCCACAAAACTAGAAGCTTGCTGAGGTGGGAGCATCTACTTGCTTGCCACTGATGTCCAATGCTAAGACTGAGCTGAGTATTTGTGGAGTGGGATGGGTTGGAATGGCCCAGCATAATTCAGTGATTGCACTGTAAATAACAATGTCTAATCAGATAGGAAGTCAGGCAGAGACTGGCTTCTTCAGCGCACTCATATAACTGAGCTAGCTACAACACTAAAACTATTTTTAAATTCAAAGGTAGTTTTTAAAAACATGGAATTTTATTTATCTTTTTACCTTGGAGTATTTGATAGTTTTTGGTGCTATTATAAAAGTAGTGTCTTTAAAAATTTTTCATTTTTGTTTGTTGCTAATGTATATACAACTGATTTTTATA